ACAATTAAGATCAGTGTTGTTTTTTTGAGGGGCAGTCAAAAGCATAGCCTGATACCGAAGAAATTACCTGGATCTATGAATAAGAAGAAACACAGGGCAAGCAACAGCGGCAATCGAGAGGAATGCAGCGAAAAGCCGAGGCGTGCAGCAGCTATGAAGGTAATTTCTTATAAGGAGAAGGATTTGATCAAGAAGCGCAATGCAGATTGAAGCAACAAGAAGTGGCAATAAGAAGTGATTGAAAAAACTTTTTTTTTTTGTAGAATTCGGTCTTTTTTTGAAAAATCTTTGTAAAAAGTGAATAAATTTATAGAATTGGTTGATTTCAATTTTCCACAGTTGTAGTGATCAAACCTGCACAGTTGGGTGGCTCTAATGCTCCTGGTATGGTTTGTAACGCTTCAGGAAATTTAACACTGCCCACACTACGAAGAAAAGACGAAAAAAAAAACAAACAGATGAGATCAACCAACTTCTAAGTAACGATTAGAAAAGCTGCCAGCCACAATGACGGACATGCAGAAGCGTTAAAGTGTAGCCACAACTGACTAGAAAATCATTTATACTTGTGCATATAAATACTTGTATATTCAAAGCAATATTTAGGTCTAGGTCGGATCAAAAATTTGATTTATTTGGAGATATTTTAATTTGTTTGGAAAATAAAAATTTACTTGGAAAATTTAGGTTAATGCTAAAGCAAAAATACAAAAGGCTTTAAAAGCCGTTAAGTAAGACTGCAAGACTGGGTTTTAGAATTTTCCAAGGGATTATCCAAATGAAACAAAACCTAAGCAAAAAGATACCTGAAACTACTCTAAGAGATGAACGTGTGACCTATTTCGGTGATGAAGCAAATTGAAGCGTAAACATTGTACATAAGTGTTTGTTTGGTGTATGTAAATTTTTCACTCCTCTCTAGAAATCACATGAAATCGTCTACTATTCTTTTGTAATTTGCCTATAAGACCAAGTAAATTATGCTGCTATGTAACACGTAAATATTGAAGGCAATGACAGATAATGATACCATCCAAAAATCAAGGACGAGGCCCATAATCGCGAACCCTTTCTTTTCGTCGATCCTGGGATAAACCATGAAATCTGCCTACATATACAGGAGGCATTTAGGGAGGATGGTACCACTGAATGATCAGGGAGAGCTCAGATTACGAAAATCCTTTTTTATCAATCCTTATGTAAACTGAGTTGCTGCTTGCTTAAATCTAAAGAACAATACTATCAAAATTATTCAAATGCGTCAAAATCAAGATAAAGATTTACCTGAAACCACCCTAAGAGGTGTATACATGTGACCGATTTTGATGGCGAAGTAAATTGAAGCGTATATTTTGTACGTAAATGTGTGTTTAGTGT